CCACATACATTATTCTTCATTTGGAGAAACATTGCAAAATGGGCCAAAAACAATCAAAACATAAGCTATAGTCCATGCTTTTGTCGAAAAACCATCGAAAAACACTCGCTTTTAAAATATTATACATTATTCGTCATCATGGGCTATAGTTTCTGGAATGATTTTCACTCTAATGCCTTTAAAACACACAATGAAAAGGCCTTTTTATGTCATTTTTGACTACTTTGCATGTGTTATACCTCTTGATGTTGGCGATGGACGATCGCTGATTTCCACACGTTTGCCATTAACGACAATTTGAAGTTGCTGAATTGCTCTTTTTTTTCAACATTTGTCATGGGTTATAGCCCATGTTTTTGATGGATTAGGGTATATTTTCACATAATGTCAAACAACACATTGCACAAGACTTATAATTCATGTGTATACCTTTAGGTCCTGGTTTGCCATCCTCCCCATCTTTGCCGTCTCTTCCTACGTAAACATCAATACAACAAATCGTGTAAGTAAACCATTTATTACGGAATATGAARCTTAGTATTTGTTGAGGTTTTTATATATTACCTGGTTGTCCTGGAGCACCATTTACACCAGGCTCCCCTCTTGGGCCATCTTTACCGTCACGACCATCTCTTCCTATTACGATAGAGAGAATCATAACACTTTAGAGTCGCATTCTGTTTTCGTTAAGGAGCAGGGGGTCCTGCTGTCATGCAGTATGAGATCAAGGATAGAATAGATACTAGAAGGATTTGTGTGAAAATGGGTGCTCGTGAAGCCCGTATCTTAATCCCCACTTATCTGTAACCCTGAGCCAAAACTCTTTACACATCCACCACGAAGCTCAAATAGGCCTTCTTATCGTAGGCTTTTTTACTAATTTTTTTTTCCAGCTTAGGAAAAAAAGCCGTCTTAAAATCAGAAGTATGGTTGGAGAAAGACTACTAGGAATTACCTAAATCGCGCGTGCGCATTTAGGATTCCTTTTCYCCTAATCAAAGTATGAATGAATGCATTTAAAAGTTCAACTGGTAACGAGATTTTGAAATTATCTTATTAACTCAGTAAATTAACCAGGACCAYACTTCCAGACATCGAATGCTGAACCGTCGTATGGACTTACGGCTACGCTGGAGATTTCGGCCCCAACACCGCTATCCCGGGGGGAATTACAAACTGATCAGGAAGCTCGGCAGAAGCGTAAGGGAGAGGTTAGTCGGCMCCTAGACCATAGATGATTAACCCCTTGCTATGACCAGCAGACCCAGTATRTTCATTGTGCAGCTGATGACTAAGTATCCATCGTCCCTCCTTTCCATGTGGGACGCGTTTCGAAAAATTCCCATGACTCAGATTTATATCCAAACTTTGGATTAAAACCAAAAATGGGGTCATATTTATATATTCTTTAATATTTTTTGACTTTAGCCATTCCTAAAACATCCATTGAAAGGATACGAAGATAGAAAGAAAAAACTGAAACAAAGCACGCTGAGCATGCGCAGATGTCGTGTGTCATAAAGTGTAACAAACTAAGCACGCCGAGCAGGCGCAGATGTCGTAATATATCGTTACGCCAATGGACCACTTCGACGATACGGCAGTCAAAATCTTGGATCGCAAGACATTATCACTCAAATCAAATAATTAGCTAAATACTACAATGCCAAGTAATAATTAATAGGTCCTTTGCAGTTAACGGTCACGTGTCTGTACTGGAGAGAAAAAATGTTTGATTTTATTTCAAATTCAGTGGTGATTCTTTTTATCTATAAAGAACCGAATGAAACGATGTGTAACCAGTGTGTTATGATTTGCAGTTTTATTACGACCTCTCGAAACAGGTTGTAGAAAGTGTGTTTACGTTCCAGTAAATTTCACCCATGGGAATCAAAATCTTCATTCATTTGCTCTCAGTTAATTAAGCAGCACGTGATTATTGAGCTACAAAGGGCATATTATCATGTTACGAATAAAAGGGAAAAATCCTTGTTGAAATATTGTTCTTGTAACGCTGAGGGGAGCTTTTTTTTTCTGACCGAGAATAGACCTTATTCGTGGTGTGACAATGTTTTCCCAATTCAGCGTGGCGAACCTTCAGGGGATTCATTTTCTTTTGTTTTTACTCTTCGAAAAATTCATGATGATATCCCGACGAGTTTCAAAACAACAACTCTTCATTCCCCCAGAGGTTTGTCACGCTGAATTGGGAAAACATTGTCACACCACGAATAAGGTCTATTGAAAGAAAAATATAAACTGCAAGAACGAAGATTACATAGTTATTCCTAATTTTCTTTTTTTATATATGACAACCCTTTTGCAATAAGGTGTACATGAACACACGAGTACCTAACAAGTAAGTGTAAAGCACCGTTAAATACCTGGTAGCCCTTGTTTACCATCATGACCATCACGACCATCTCTCCCTGTCATACAACAGTAAATAAACATATCTTGGTTTCATGAATAGACAATTACCTAACGATAACAACATTGCTTGAGTGGTACTACATGAGCGGTMTTTAAAGAAGTTCTAGGAATTCTGCTCTTTCTTTGGTTGACACCTCCATGGTAGAGTAGTGGTTAGTTGTCGGAATGAGGATGGATTGTTGCTGTGYTGAGCGTTTGTTTTCTCGTCAGTATTCTCGCGTGCTGGGAAGTTGGTTGGTTTGCTCGACATCCTATTACAACTATTGGGGGTAAGGATTTAACGTGGTGGATAGAAGTCATGCTTTCAATTCCCATTAGTTATCGTTGCTATGTCCCAGAAGCTCAAAAATGGATGTTTTTCCATTACAGAAAACGTGTTATTCCCTGGAAATGAAGAAAAGAAGGAAGAAAGGAAGGAAGGAAGGAAGGAAGGAAGGAAGGAAGGAAGGAAGGAAGGAAGGAAGGAAGGATGACTAATAGACTTGAGCGCCATGTAATTCCATACCTTTCAGTATCATACTCTGCCTTGATTCCAGTTGTCCTATTCTAAAAAAACAATAACAGCACAAAGTTTAACATTTCCGACTTCGTACAATCAGTGACCGCTGTAATCCTTCATCACAGACTCATTTACTCAGCAGACTTAGTCTCTTATCAGTGTCTAAATATTCACAAATACCAACGGTAAAGTAAAGAATGCTCAACTTCAACAATGCAAACACTTTTGAAATTTCACGGACCTTAGTGGAACACGTGAATATTCTACACGAAACTGAGGCTAACCCTGAGCATCAGAGAACTACAAACTGAGTGTTGCAACTACGATGGTCAGACGACTGAGAATGGTCATCTGTCACGTGCTTGTCTAAACGTCTAATCAAAAGTTAGGTTGAAAAGGTCCTAATAAACGGACGAAACTAGTCCCTAAACTACAATTGTGTTGTTGTTAGTGCGTGGGGGATTATAAAAATCACCATAGAGTGTGTATAGATATGAAGATAAGCAAGTCCTTCAATGTCTCGATTGAAAAGTTATCAACAAAAGTATTCAAATTGTAGGCAATGTTTAAAAACATCGTACGCAACTATAATATTCCATTGAAATTTGTTAATTCAACTCAATATTATTTATGTATCGCAATTCACTAAATAGCTTCATATATTTTTGAGACGACAATATTTTGTGGTATTGTCGTTTCGAAATTAAAATTTCGGATTGGCAAACGCGCGACGAAAAGGAAAGTTTCAGCGCGCGCGCGTCAAATGTTTACGCTTGTTGCTTGCGCCATAGCGCGAGCTCGTAAGGAAAATTTCGCTTTTAATCAACGAAAATCGGTCAGTTTTTTTCATTTTTATGTGTTAAATTCTTTAGAATCGCGATACTATAAACTAATTACGAWTTTGAGACGACAATATCACGAAATATTGACGGCGTTGGAAGAAAATATATTCGGTATTTTGCGGCTTCGCGACTCCGCCCAATAGTAATATATTTTCTCCCAACTAGCCTTCAATATTTAGTGGTATTGTCGTCTCAAAATCGTAATTAGTTTATATAATCGAACAGACAAAAGATGCCCTGACAACTAATAAGCGTTGATTTGAAAGTTTGCGTTGGCCTCGAGTCAGTGATTATTTTCATTTGCTTAGCAACGTTCAAAATAAAAAACCTGTGTTTCCTTAGCAACCACCAAGAATGTGTCATGAACTTGGTTCTTCATGACGCTTTTATGTGAAATWCCTATGAATAATCGTTACTAAAAGAGTTTTTTACTATGCAAGCAAAGAGTCATAAAATAATGATGAAAACTCTAGTTTGCCGAACTATTTCGTTTAATTCAAGAATTATGGTCAATTTGATGGTTGATAAAAAATTTCAGACTTAGATCATTTACACTAATTGAAAAACGTCTAAGATTTGCTATACTTTTATATAATATTCTCCCTACAGAAAATATTGGATTGCTCATTTTGAACAAGGTCARGAAAATGAAAGAGTGTGAATGAAAAAAGACTTGAAGTCACCGAACAACTTTTTATTTAATGCTATGAATAAGATGTTGACATTCATGACGTAACTRAGAATTTCAACACAGATTTTCTCTAGTAGATAAAACTGGAAAGTGCTGAGGGAGTCGAGTGAGGTATCGGGATACAAATGGCAGTGATARTATAAGTACTGAAAAAGAAATGAAAAGATTGTTCTAGATAAAAGTGCTCAATATTTAACAATTAGACTACGAGGTCGAGTTTTCTATGAGTCAATAGATAGTCTATGAGGCGCGTAGATGACACTAAAAACTTTGGCTGTACAAAGCGACGGTCAACCGGCGGCACTGTTTTCATTCATATTTTCGAACTCGACTCGAGGTCTTATCGCGCATAAGCTAAACTTGCTCTATTTATATAGCTTTTTGTCTCTATTATTACGCTCAAAACTCTCTTTCCAAGATTTTTTTTCTTTTTATCAGTTCTTGGGATCATTTTTCTAATTAATGAGTGATAAACTGAACGGATTTGTTTACAAATATTTTGTTCTCAGATCATTCAAATAAAGCCGTGCCATGTTTCTTCATATCTATACACATCCTCTGGTGATTTTTATGATCTCCCACGCACTAACAACAACACAATTGCAGTTTAGGGACTAGTTTCGTCCGTTTAGTAGGACCTGTTCAACCTAACTGAATCTAACTGAATGATTACGTTGCGATATACTGTTTACAGTCCTTTGACTAAACGTTGTCGTTGATCGGATCATCCCTACGCGCCTAGACCGAAAAGGATAATGGGTAAATTACCCAGAACTTGCGTCATCCAAACTGCTCGCCAGTTTAATATGCTCGAGGCATGGTTTTAGCAAATTAAATGGGATCGAAAAAAGCGAGCTCAAGACGTGTTAGATAACATATGCGGCAGCTAGTAACTGTGAATTAATTATCCCCATGGTCCTTTTCGGTCTAGGCGCGTAGGGATGAAGCCGATCAAAGGACAACGTTTAGTCAAAGGACTGTATACTCGTGATGAACGAGAGCGCGTGCGGTAAACTTGCGCGCGATGTAAAAAGAAGAAGAAGAAAGAAAATTTACATTRTAACTGTTCTAGGGATCTTCATAAAGTTCCATTCTGTTTTGTTATTTATCATTTATCTTGTTCTTCTCTGCTAATTTTAACAGACTCAGTTATTTGTCTNGCAAAGTTGCGCAATAGTTACCCAGGGGTCTTCAGGAACTTACCCAAGAGACCTTTGCGGGCATTTGCTATTGGATTCCCGTCTATACTCCAATCAATTATCATGTACCAGATGTCAATCAATGTCACTATGTTGTCAAGTGATTATGAGAGGGCGGAGCTAGGAGATCACGTGGCACAGGTTTATGTCTACGCATGCTCTATTTCGTTGACCGCCGTAATTCAAGACAGCCGAACTAGAAATTAATTTTTCAAATTTCAACGCGAGAAGATAGCGGGATGATTTCGAAGCGATTATTTCTAAGAATTTTCAATGAACTTCATGGACAAAAGCTTGTTTTGGTTTATCTATTCATGATTCATCTACTCGAACAGTATTTTCTGCACGAACAAGCGAAGATCGATGAGGAGAACAGGGTTTCAAGAATTACGATAAGCGATAGTAAACAAATATTTCATTCAGTATGACTCGTTATTCTCTTGAACTTGACAATATAGTCTTATAACCTACATTTATGTATTTATATTAACTGTTTTTGCTTCAAAGTCTATTCACAAAGGAACATGAGGTACATAGTAATATTTATTTTAAGATTCTATTTGATTTAAGAAGCAAAATAAATAGTTTTCTACGCACATTCCAGGGTTTGATCTTTGCCGTTCGAAGCGTCTATGATCTCCTTTAAAGTGCTAGTCTTACGAAAATATTAATGACGCAAAAAAATCCCCGATTTGGTATATGCTCAAATAGGTTATAATGTTCACCAATAAACAATAATTGGTTCGAAAAAGAAACTTTTCCCGTCTGAATTTTGCTTCCGAAAATTGTTAAAAGCTCGTCCGCCATTTCTATGAGCAGCGATTTTGTCGTTGCATTTTAATTTGTGTGACGTCATATGCGCAACTGGCATCCTTTTTATCCACACTGACTCTACAGCATTCTCTGTAAGAAGGCATTACTTGGTTTAAGGCTTGTTTTTAAATCAAAAATAGTCGAAATTTGGTTGCAATTACACATTGTGAGAAGCCGCGAATTTTGAAGGGGTGGCGCGTATGACGTCACTTCCTTCGAATCACTAAAAGTTGCCAGGAGCGCAATCGCTTAATGGCGGACTCAAACGGCCAAACTTTACTGGCTAAATGCAACATCTTCCCAGTCTTGTATCGAAAAAGAATTTGGACAGTAAGCTATATTACATATTTAGTTTTATATGGTACGATTCCCAGGGATGATGTCATTTTCGTAAGACTAGCACTTTAACTTTTCTTCAACTTAAAAATTGCGATTCATTAAAAAATATCGAGAAATTATAAAATTATAAAATGTAAAGCAAATGTTAGCCTTATTTACGTTTTACATGAAACATTTTGATTTTAAAGCGAGCCGTGCGAATGTGCATGCTTTTGAGACGTTGCATAACGACAAGCTAATTACGTATGCCAAAATCCGGTTCCCGGAACTGGAATTGGAGTTCCAGATTGAGTTTTTTGATGAGTATGGTATAAACGCTCTGCCTGCAAACGGTCTTTAACACTGTCGTTCGAAATTTTGCAACTTATTTTTACTTCTCCTTTAGATTCTTCGAGACTCTGTTACTAGTAAACCATCCCAACCAGGGTCTGGTTTGTCATTACTTTGAGACGTCATGAAATACTTTATCAGTAGTTTAGGAAGCTCAACCAACTAAATCCTCCATGCATGTTGAAACCAGGTCCTTCAGGTATCCAGGTATCCCAGCTTACCCTGCCAGCAGGGTCTTGTTTAAAGTGGGGTGTACCTAAACAGCTCACCTCGTCTTCGTCAACAACGCTCTCGGACGCGGTTCCTAACGGTTAAGTTAGGGAGAATATTTGCAATAACTATGCCTCTATGTTCTAGAACTGACTGTGGGGTTCAAATCTCAAAAATAATGCTGAACGCAAAAAAGAAAGGTACAAAAACAGTCTCAAAGGCTTTTAAAAGTAGTGATTTCAAATGCGTTAAATTAGTAAACATGTCTATTAGTTTTCTTGGCGCTTTTTTTCTGATGAACGTTCCACTTTTATAGAAATGATTGACAACATAGGGCTCTACAAAAACAACCCAAAATATATACTTAGAAATATGATGAATATAACCATAAGATCAGCATACTATATTTTCTGTTGTAGGAGCAAAGCTTGGAATAATCCTGATTTGATGAAATTGTAATCTTTTTTTCTTTTCTTCCTTCGTTTGTGTGTGTGTGTTTAATAGCGTGTAAATGCGTATTCTTGCGTTTCTCAAGTAGTCAGTTGTACTAAATTACCTATTTGTAAAATAAATAGTAAATATGAAATAAAGTTTCCATTATTATTGTTATTATTGTTATTGCCAAGAAGAAATAAATGAAAGAGCGAAATCTAAATTTTATCATTTTATCAAATGTGACGAGATGGCCTAATCTTCTGAGATATTGTACTAATATGCATTTTATATTTTAAGAAAAAATTGTTTAAGGTGGCTCGACCCAGTTTTCAGAATGTGAGGGTACTTAAGTTGAAACGGTTATAGCTCTCGTAACAGACTAAAGTTAAATATGATTTTTCGCATACATAGTACACATGAATCAAACTTTCTCCTGACGCTAGGTTGGTTGAAATCGAAGTTTTCCTTTCATCAAAATTTTGTTGCCCTTGACTTTACATTTCACAAATTATCTCTAAATCCAGACCTTATCTTTGAAAGCAACTTGCTCCTGAGACTTTGTAGACCAAATATTTGGTTATAATATGGGGAAACTTAAAGCAATTCTATGAGGCCGCTTTCAATTCAGTAAAAAAATAACAATTATTTTACTCAGAATAAATTTAAAAAGGTCATTACTATACTAAGAGATTTCGTCTCCTTTCCCGCTTGGTTCAGAGATGAAATTCTTCAGTTATTTAAGTTCAGGCGAGGATCGAAAAACAATTTTGACTATTCTTCGCAACATAAAAGTTCAAAAGACTTTGCTTAGGGAAACGGTTCATTGAATGCGGCGTGGGGGATAAAGATTTCTTCTCAAAAACATTTTTTTACTGTGGACTTCATTTTCCAAAAGGCCCCCCAACTAACCCATGAAAATTTTAAAATTAAAATTTGAGAGCCAGCTCCCCTTGTGTGCATGTCAAATTTTAAGAGCCCCCCTTTTCATGTCCCAAGGAGCTTTGT